TTTCTGTTTTCCCTGCTGACCCTTGTGCTATCAGTTGTAATTATCCAAGTGCATAAGACGACCCTTTGAAAGGACAGGACAGAATCAATGATTAATAATATAATCAGGCTATTAAATAATTATTAGAGTTTAGGTTGTTCTTCAATTCTACTGGTTATTATTATTATCATTATTAGAAATTAAAACGTATCTGTTAACATTCACAAATTTTATTTAAAAATTAAATATTTCCAGATTTATATCGCTATAATAGAATATAAATAAAAAGTGAACATATATTAAGAAATTTTTCCACATGAATTTAATTGTAATTCTACTGATTGTTATTATTCAAAATTAAATCGCGTTGTTTAACACTCACAAATTATATTTAAAATTTAAATATTTCCAGATTTATATGACTATAATATAATATAATTAAAAAGTCAAATTATATTAAGGATTTTTCCCACATAAAAAATTGTAAAACATAGAAATATTACAAGACAAATTTCACTCAGCACAATTGACTACGTCGCAACTCAATTTATCACCTTGTTACCTTTTTATTGTTTCTATTTTCGTTGCATTAATCATAAAAGTGTAATATTTGCTTGTCAATATAACGGTGAAATTTCATTTTTGGGCGGTCCATTTGATCACGCCAACCCCGTAAAAAAGCAATTAAGTTCGCAAGGCTTATTTCGTGCAATCAACCATTATCACGTCTTTAAATTCTAAGTAAACATAAATGTTAAAATGTAATTGAACTAAACTGGCTTATAAGTAAAGGGGTATATTATACCTGTTATATTCAAGGTAATATTTTTTCCGTAACTTATATACGAAAAAACAAAGTGAGAGAGAAAGAGAGAGAGAGAGAGAGAGAGAGAGAGAGAGAGAGAGAGAGAGAGATGATTTTGCGATTTACAAAACTAGTTCATTTGCTGTACAGTTCTATGCAAATGATTATTATTTATTTAAGATGGCGACTATTCGCGTAATCATTAAACAAAGTCCAAATCAATTCTTTTCCGGCCATCCGTTCTTTAAAACGGACGCGTTTCGAAGTAGCAAATATGAAGGAAAATTCCGTCGCATTCCGTCTAGTGTGGCACGAAAACTAGTCAATTTAATAAGTTAAATGAAGTACATCTTCACTAAAGCTCTCCGTGGCCATTTAATTTGTCGCCGAGAATCAAATAGACTACACGACATTTGAAAAATGGCAAAAATAAGGGAAAATTCGAGAGGTGAGGTTGAGATGGGAAGGTAGTGTCCGAGTGGATCGAGGTCACGATAGCTCAAGTGGTAGGGCAGCGGCGTATTTAGCCGAAGGTCGTGGGTTCGAATCCCGCTTGTGGCACTGACTTTTCATCTCAACCAATACCTTAAGTACAGATTAATTAATTGAAAGATATTACTTGGTCAAGCGGACCACGAAAACTAGTGAAGTTATTAAAAATAGTTTTTTCTTAACTTCAAATTCTGACAAATTAAAAATACTGACTTCAGGGAATCTTGGTTAGCCGTAACTGCTCGTCACATTCGTGCACACATACGAATATAAAATGTCATTCGAATTGATTAAATGGTTGCTGAGAAAAATATGTTGGGAGGTTTTCTGATACAGTCTTGCATGCCCTTATATGTTCACACACATCTCACAATCTCCAAATGACCATTACTTTTCGGTCAGTGATTACTAAACCTAATCTTATATGTTGTACTGTACAAACCTGAGCTGTCCAAAACGTAAGGTATCTTGAAATTTGCTATTATACTACAATCCCTCTAGGAAAGGAAATTCAGAAACACCTAGTTATCTTATAGGAATCGTTTAAATCCGAAAGATATAAAAGGAAACTGTACTAATAAATAAAGTAAAAAAGCTCAGAGGCGTTAATGGGGCGATAAAAAGATAGGGTTGTCGAACGAGAATATATTAGGGGTGGTGTCGATATCAGCGGGGAGGAGAGTTTCAGGTGAGCGGGTTACAGCCATTTCAATTACACTGTCTAACGGGCTGGGAAATTAAGCAGTAGCACCAGAGCCCAGAGTCTCGCTATCTATCCAGAATATTGAAACGGTTAGTACTCGGCACGGGGCTTTAATACGGCCATATATTTAAGAGGTGTCCTCCCTGGGTACATAAATAAGCCCATAATCTGGAGTCGCATTCAGGGCCCAACCCACCACCCCTCGAGGGCATAAATCATTAATAAGAAGTTACCAACTGGCTGAGCCCTTCAGTAAACACAACGCCCTTCAGCAGATATCTGTCCTTGGTTTTTTATTTGTTTGTTCTTCCGCTTTCACTTTGGCTTGAACTCATTACAACCCCCATTTTAGGGACTTGATTGTAAATAATTTTTTTTAATCGGAACATTCCGAACTTCCCTCCAAAACGAATTTGAATTAAGCTATTTATCAGATTCGAATCTACTTTTCCTTGTTTATTTGTTTGTAAAAGACAACCTCCCTTTATAAATATTTCAAACCGAACCAAACAACAATTATCGATCTAGTACTCCGAAACGTTTATACTTTAAAGAATCTACATAAATATAGGCTAATACAGACTAGAATACTCTCGGTGTGGAAAATCCTGCATATGGTTGGGAGACAATTTACTTAGTCTGGTTGGACATTTCGTATGGATTAAACATGAAATTCTTCGGAAGATACCTGTTAAATAATATCGGGAAGAAAACTCATGAAGGAATGTGCACAGATAAGGATATGAAGAGGATTGAATAAATTTTCTTTTTACCTTCAATGTATTAGTTATAAGAATGTTCAATTAACTAATAAAAGATAGGTAGAGAGAAAAGAGTTCGATAGATGGATAGACATAGTTAGCTAGAGATTGAGAAATGGGCAGAGTGGGAAAAAGAGAAAGCGAAAGAGAGACAGAGAGAGAGAGAGAGAGTGAGAGAAAAATAGAAAGAGATATATAGATAAAGCAAGAAAGAAAGAGAGATAGACGGATAAACAGTGTAAGAAAGAAAGGAAAAGAGAAAGAGAGAGCGAGAGGGATAAAGAAAGTAAGAAAGAAAGCGAGGAGAGAGAGATAGTGTAAAGATAAGAGAAAAATTGTAAACAGCAAGAAAAAGAAAAGGGCAAAAGTGAACAGTGTGAGTCAGAACAACGAGACAGGTTAATAGTAAAGATGAAACTAAAATCAATAAGTTATTTTAACTTTTTATAAACTTATACCTATTAATAACACACAAAGTATGAAGTATTGATTGAATTTTACCTGTGTCGTACCAACTACTATGAATGCGTCGTCTAACAAATGTCGATTTGTATTTAAAAGGCCAAAGTTATAAATAGCCGTACATAAATGGTTTTTTTTGTTAAGGTTCGACAAAAATCGGTAAAAAATAAGGAACTGTTTGACTGGAAAAAGAGGTAGTTACTGCAGAGTAACTAGGGACGGACTTATACCAGGCCGTATAGGGTCACCCTTGTATTTCAGTTTTCCGGTATAAATAAGAGGTAAGTGTGTGATGGAGGGAGTAGGGAAGGCACAAATCGCCATCCTCCCGTGTATATTATTTGAGCGGAGTGCCCGTAGGGTTTTTGCCTCTATTTCAAGCCCGTTGGTTTGATTTAGTTCCTCCTGCCCTCCTCTACGTGGCCCGCCTATACAATATCACAACAGTATATCTCTCAACCGACCTTATTCACTACAACGACTTAAACGCCCACCCTACAAAATCTCTGCCCCTTCCACATTATTGCTACCTGCTCACATTAGAGCCTTATATCACTTTCCCGGCCCTTGAAGCAATTTAGCGTATAAATCCCCTCCTCCTTTTTGCCCGTCTCTGGGACTTAATTAAATTCGGTAGTTAATTATAAAAGATGGTTATTGCTCGCATTTTATAATTACGAAGATGCAATATATTTTCTCGATATTTAAAAACGGGCAAGGGGAATTTACAATCTCTCCCGGTATTCCATATTTATTAACAGACGTTTACTTTCCACTGAAGTTAGTCGGACTTGTACAAATTTAATTTCGTTTAACGAAAACTCTGAATTAAAAACGCATGTTATTTGAATGCTAAGCATTTGTGTAATACTCATAAATAAACCATCTTTAGGTGCTGTATGATGAAGAATGGATCGTATTCCTTTCCAAATTCGACATTTAGTTACTTTCTTTCGAATAAAAAGCTCCAATATATTTCAGGAGAAACTGTGACAGAAATGGAAAGGTAGATAGATAAATTGTTAAATTAATAGATAGGTTGTTAGATAGATAGCTGAGAGAGAGAGAGAGAGAGAGAGAGAGAGAGAGAGAGAGAGAGAGAGAGAGAGAGAGAGAGAGAGAGAGAGAGAGAGAGAGAGAGAGAGAGAGAAAGAGACCTTTCTCACCCCCTCTCACCCTCTCTCTCTCTCTCTCTCATTCGCTCTCTCTCTCGCTCTCTTTCTCTCACTTACTTTTTCTTTCTTCTCCTCACGTTCTCCCATATATGACATATTTACTGTGTATTCAATGAACATGAAGACTGTACCTACATGTATTTAGAATTGAACCAATTACAGTTTTATTCTATAAAACAATGACCATACTGAAAACATTTTATAATATATTTTATATTGATTACAGCCCTTCAATGTGACTTAGTCCGTCAGACAAATCTTTAAAAATTTGAGTCGTCTTGACTACGAATGCTAGCAAAACGTGCGGGGAAGGAAGTTGCATCGAGGCCCAGGACTCATCATCTAATTTTCTCTAACGAAATTTGAGGGTTCATTTGCATGCAGGGTAATTACTAAAGAGGATCAGCATTAGGCAAAGTTTGTAATCAGTAACGGGAAAGGACAACACGGAGGGCGGCAGTAGGAATGTTGATTTCTCAGCATTCGGGCTTTAAAGTTCTGAACGGGGTGTCGGTTAGGCTAAACCCTTACATTCGAAAAGGCTCTGCTGGCCTAGTGGCTAGTTGAGTAGATTAGCGGACTGACTGAAGTCCGTTTTATAAACTAGTGCGATTTTCACTCACCTCGGATTTACCCTTGGAGACACAGTTGACCACGTTACTCGGCTCAAGGTTCAGCACATCTCTCTGAAAACAAAAAGATTATGAACATCAATATAAAATGGTTCAAAGCACTACATACCGGCAATTCGAGCTTTCATGCATAACATGATAACAAAAGAAAAACAATTATTGTTCAATTATTAATTTATAATGATTATTTAGAGATCGGGAAATGCGGTCTGGTGTGTTGTAGGTTTAAAAATTTTTTTCTTTATCGTGCCAAAGTTTCGATCTTTATTGAAATCATTTTCAGAGCCTGAGATTTATAAACATTGTTTATTATACAAATTCTTATAAGGTATGACTATAAATTTATACTATGATGTACAAAATATATAAATTTTTGGTTTAATTAAAGTATTTGTACTCGCTCAAAGTATGTGTTTTCTGTGCAGATGTCTCATTGCTGTGTGTCGTGTTGAGAGTGTTAATGAGATATTAATGTTTTTTGAAAGAAGTAGGGATAGAAATTTATTTTTCTATGTGGAGTGGGCTTCTTTGAGGTGAAAGGGACCGACAATGAAAAAAAGTTGTCGCCTGGTTAGCCTTTAGATGGAATATTAGGGAAAGGAGAGATAAATTGTTGAAGATTTAGACTATGTAGAATTGTTTGATGTGCGGAGCGTAATGATTGTTTTATATGTTGTATTATGTTTTATGTGTTATAGGTATGCTATAGATATTGAATTTGCTTTATATCATCATTTGTCTGAGTTTACATGTATCTATTCTCTAATTGACACTGTGTTTTTCTCTGTTGATGTAAACCATTTCTAAAAAGTTACTTTTATGTTTATGAGGACTCTCAACACGACACGCAAGGATGGCACAATTACACAGAAGACAAACACTTTGAGCCCTGAAGATGATCTCAATAAAAGATCGAAACGTTGACACGATAAAGAAAATGTTTTTCTGAAACCTACATCACACCAGACCGCATCTCACGATATCTGAATAACAAACATAAAAGTAACTTTTTAGAAATGGTTTACATCAACAGAGATAAACACAGCGTCAATTACAGAATAGATACATGTAAACTCACTTCAATTATATCATTGAATTAATTAAGGTTTTTACTTGAGATAAAAAAGTTAGTGCCACGAGCGGGAATCGAACCCACGACCTTTGGCTTGATACGCCGCTACTCTACCACTTGAGCTATCGTGAAAAATGGCAAACAGGAGGGAAAATTCAAAAGGTGGGGTTGACATGAGAAGTTAATGCCCGAGTGGATCGAAGTCACGATAGCTCAAGTGGGAGAGTAGCGGCGTATCATGCCGAAGGTCGAGGGTTCGAATCCTGATCGTGACACTGACTTTTTTACCTCAACCAAAAACCTTAATTAATTGAATGCTATTATAAATTTATCAGAAGAGCGAAATTTGTTTAATTTGTGTGATTGGCCGTGGTCGAATGGAATGGATATGTATGTTGGTTTGTCGGTGTTTGGGAGAATTGATCTAGTGTTATTAGTGATAGTAGTGATATTAGTGTTGAGTTGTAATTGTCGATTATGTTTTTAGGGTAGTAATTGTTATTTATGATATGTTTGTATATCTTTATGTTCTTGTGGTGAAAAGATTCATGGCTCAGTGTACTAATGCTGTGCAGTAGCCCTTTGGCAGTGTTTATTATTGTATTCTATCCCTATTTCCTTCTTCATTCCTTCAAAATCAAACGTGTATAAACAAAAAACATTAATATCTCACTAACACTCTCAAAACAAAACTCAACAGTGGCATATCTAGAAAGAAAACGCACAATTTGCGTGAGTTCAAATATTTTTATTAAGCCTAAAATTTCTATATTGTGTACATCATTGTATAAATCATAGTCATATCTTATATGTATTTGTACAATTTGAACAATATTTATAAATCCCAGGCTCTGAAAATCGAAAAGTTGGCACGATAAAGAAAATGTTGCTCACGATCTCTAAAAAATCGTTCTTATATAAAGTGTTGACACAAATTTTTTAAATAGGTTTTTCTACATTAACAGATTTTCCCGTTTCTTTCGTTCTCGTTTAGTCACAGTTTTCATATCATGTAATTGTCAGGTAAAATCATAGTGTGAGAGTCCAAATGTTGTCATAGCTATTTCTATAACTATTGATAATTAATGTCACGACAGGTTGATTAAAGTTATAAACTAGCCCAAAGTACAAAGCCCTAGGGCCTTGTGACGTTATAGACAATGGAGAGTTTCTCGCTCCCAGGGCGAACAGCTTCTCGTTACATTGTTCCTAGGTGAAACAAACAATGGAAAAGTATTCTTCTCACATGAATTGAAATTATCTCCCCCTACCAAGCCAGAATGAAATCATAAATATCTATTAGCGCCAGCGGGGGTATTTGTATCTTTTATTCTCCCCCCTTTGTTTCAGTTTCCTCAAATAAGCCTATTTATGAATTTATAATCCTTAAGAGGGTGTGAATGTAGTGAGTTTTCCATGGCGGTCTCCGCCAATTAATGCGAGCCGGATTAAAATGCATGAGCTCTTTGGCGAAATCGATAAAGGTAACAAGGGCTCCAGCTCTTTAGACGACATTACTAAATTGCCAAAAGACGTGATTTAAACACAATTGATTTAAGACAAGAGGAATTTTAAATGACAATGTTCAAGTTAAAAACATATCAAATTTTCTTTATTTTTTGTTTTGAACGAACCTATTAAGAAAGTGGCCATGTGACTTTTGACTTTATCGAATTTGCTTCTTAAGATGTCAAAACAATTCCAGGAAAAGAATTAATGTGAAATTCATAACAATTTTATCTTCCCCTATGAAGGGGATAAATTGTTCCTCCTCAGCTTCATTTCACCCAAACCACCAGGCAATAACTTAGAAAGGAAATTAAGAATAAAATTAATTTTCTTATTGCTTCCAACGAAATTTGAATATTCCGTTTTATCGCTCATGAGGAAAAAAAATTAATACCCGTTACTGGAATTCGGACTGTCGCTTATAATTAAAAAACCCTCATTAGGAGGAGGGGCAGAAAAAGTCATGTCCAAACTGCATTTAGAATGCCAATGAGACGAGATGGAGGTTAAGTTGATTAGACGAGGAGGGTCTTTTATCCTCCAGCTGATTTCCCATAGGCCGGCATCAGTTGGCCAATCAAGAATGGATGAAGGAGCTAGGCCTAAAAATATCTGAAGACCGGCACAATTTTGTTCAAATCAAAATTATTTGAACAAAAATATGTGGAAAAGTACTTAAAAAACCGCAATTATTACCAAATTATCTAAATAATTTTTAATTTCATCAAAAAACATGTGAAATGTACGTCTAATGATGAGGGTTGCCAAACGTAATTAGACGAGGATTTCTCATTTTGATAAATTGAAGATGATTTAGGTAATTTGGTAATAATTGTGTATTTTTAAGTAATTAAGTAATTTTACACATTTCTGTGTAAATAATTTAGATATATAATTTTGATTAAGAATTGATATATAATAATTGTGATATTTTTGATGTGTAAAACAAGGAAAAGAAGATGATACATACTTTTTCCTAAAATATAAGGTAAAATTCACTTGAAAAAACTTTAAAAAAAGGCAAACTGACTAAGTATTTTACTTCATATTACACAATTCTGTTATAAATTAAAGGGGGCGTCGTTGGGGGCAACGGCGGCAGCGCGCTCATAACTGAGAAGGTTATAACGAGCGGGATTTCCTCAAGGTTTGGCCTGAATAGCCTAAGCCTTGAGGAATTCCTCAACGTGTGTGAGACGTCAGGCCGTGATGATAAGGAAATCCCAACAAAAATCAATCATTTTTCTGCCTTGAGATGAAAACTACTAGAACAACCAGCAACCATTACCAGTGAACACAGTGCTAGGCCCTTTACCTTGAAGACATCCGCGATGAAAATACTCTGCGTGTCTGGGCGCGGGTTCGGTTGACGAAATATAGGATAATTTTTCCTTGAGGATTTCCTGTAGTGTATGGCTACCTTAAGGTAAAGCTTCCGTGTTCGAATCCAGCAGCCTTGCATTCGAACCTGGTGTACTTACAAATTGGCTGTTTTTAATAGAGCAGGCATCCCTGAGGGTTATATGATATGACCTCTGCTGTTGCGAATCCTCGCACAAAAAGATGTTAGCAGGTAGAGTTTTTTAACAGATAGCAAAACAATAAAATAAAAAAATGAAAATCATCTTCTTGGCTTATTTTCTAGCTAAAACTTATTACTTGTTCAGGCGCAAAAAAGTTTAAAATTGCCTTATAAATCGGTTTTTAAGGCGGTCTTCAATTATTTCCATAGTTCAAAGATGAAGTTGGAAGCCGGTAAATGGAATTTAAGAGTACTTTCTAGACAGGTAATCCCCTTTATGAGTTGCCCTTTATGACCGGGTATTCACATAACGGTCTTCTCTTAAGTTTTATCGCCACATTGTAAAGTTCCTTTATTAATGTAAAGCCAATTTCATCCTGCCAAGAACTCTTCAGCTTTCCGGTACGAGAATTATTCGTGGCATCGGCCGCCCTTGTTTCTTTTGAGGCCCACCCGTAAAACAACATCGCCAGGATCATCATTTTCCCCTTAGTCATAATCTCTGGGAATCAGGAGCTCAACGCGATCCTGATGGGGTTTTAAGTTTCCTATCCCCCATGAGTTAAAATGTAGGGGTGAGAATTAACCGTCTATAAGTTGATAGGGTCGGAGTTTCAATTTCCTAAGATTATTATTATTTCAGCCGATTGTCAGTGATTTAACATAGATTCATTTTGTCGTTTTATCTTCAGAAAAAAATAAATAATCGAGAAATATTCGTTAGCAGTAAATGATGAGTTGGGATGGTAGAAGTGGGTTGCCAAGTTGAAATAAAAAGATCTTGTCTTGGAAATGCCAACGAAAATTTAATCTTAAAAAAACACGAAAAAGTTTACATTTTTACACTTCACTTTTCACCTTATGACCTCTCCTCCAATCTACTACAACTCTGTTCCTCTCCTACCATCCAATGACTATTTGTGGTGATATATTATTGAAACGAAAATGTCT